ACTGATATTTGTATACTTACTACATAAAGTATACTTAAAAATATACTTGAACTTTACTTAAGTATACTTACTAAAATAAACTTGAAGTATACTACTTTTTGGTAAGGGTTGCACTACTTTTTAACGAATCAATTGATTCATGACTCACTGAGAATATAGAAGACTCGTACTGAATGAATCAAAATCAGTCAGAACGGGTAAACCGAATCAGTCCAATTAGTGAATGAATCATTTAATCTAAAAGAGCGATTCGTTTCGAACTTTCATGAACTTAATTAATGCTGACTTTTTGAATCGTGAAGCGATTTAATCACCCATTAATACTACATTTTACAAAACAATCATCTATTGCCTTGCGTTAACCATTTTTATATAGGCTATATATATATATATATATATATATACACAAGGGTGTAACTTTGGTTTGAGAAGTGGGGGGGACACAAAATGGGGGGAAATGTTTTCGATTTGAATCCCATTTCCTGCATGTACATACATTTAGGCGGGGCATAGAGGAGAAACAATAATGTACAGTATGTGGAAAATAATGTGTTTTTTTAACTTTAAACCGCATAAACACATTTCATTACACCAAATACACAAAATAATGTTCTTTTTAGCAGCATCATATGACCCCTTTAAAGTCATCTGTTGCCGCTTCTGGTGTTTCATCGCTGACTATGCCTGTTCGATCCACGCGGTGGCGCCATTTTCTAGTTTGAGTTTGACAATTAGAAGACGTTAAGCGTCTAAACTTCAGCTAATATCACTGCAGGGAAGAGTTCATCTTAAACATTTGAAATAGTAGTAGTAGTAGTAGTAATAATAATAAAATAAAATAACAAGCTCACAGATAATGATAGATGTTATCAGTGGTTCTGTGGTTTATTGTTCACCTTTGCGTCCTAATGTAGCGCGTTATCAAGTATGAAAAAAGCATGAACCATCACCTGTTATTGTTCCGGAAGTCTATAGGGCGAGTGAAAAAACTTATTGTTGGATTATGTCAACAGGTAGTTAATTTTGACCGCGCTGTAGTGATTTTATGTAGAACAGTCTATAAACACCATTTGGACATAGGTTCTGCCTCCACTATAAAATGCACAGAGCCAATAGGAAACCCAACTTCGCATGTCCTCAAACGTCATTTATTGCCTCCAACTGTGGATGATAGCCAGTATATTCCGTCTCTTGTGAAAGAGTAGGTAAACTGATTGCGGATCTGACACACATGCCTGCAGCTACAGACTCACAGATCAACACAAGAGCGCACTTCTGCTGCCTTTCACTTCTGACTGACTGTCACTCACACGATCGCTGTACCTGTGCCTTCAGTCCCACAAGGACAAAAGTAAGTGCCTGTTACTTATTTCAAATAGTTATTTTGAGTATTCGTAATCCTGTATTATGTGAGGAGAGTATTTGGTGTTGAATCGCTCTACTGTATTTTCCTCTGTTGATCAGAATCATTTTTATCCATTGAGTTCTAATGACAGGTTGTTTCGGTTCAACTTCACCTGCTGAAACATAGGCTACTTAATGTATATCGTTGTTGTAAAACGTTTTTAGTGTATTTTAGTGTAAATATTTTGAATCAGTGGACATAGGCTATCGGAGTCAATAAGTCTGGTTCATTTATTGATTACTTAATCTGACGAAGCGTATAGCCTACAGCTGACAGCTGATCTATAGCCGATCAGCTGTCTTGATCTGACACGTATTTTTATTCTAATTAGGTTGAGTAAGCTTGATTTAAAGTAGTTTAGTAGGGCATCTTTATGTAGCCTACGGTAGAAGAGGAAGCTACTTCGCTTCTCCTTTTCTATTCAAACGTCTGTTTGACCTGTTTTTAAATGGCATTCTTTTCATTGTTATTTAATAATCAAATGAATTGTTATTAAGGGTGCAGTTACACACTTTTAAAATGCTTATAGTACGTCAATTACTGGACACAGAAAGAGAGAGATGAAGTAGAGACTCCAAAGGTATTTTCACACTTAAAATGTATTAATATACATTATTTAAAAAAAAAACACTTTTCAGCGGAAACAAATAAGTTTGTTCAAATGATAAAACAATATTGTTTCAACAATTAAAAAAATATATATATTTGGACACTTTCTTGTCAAATGTTCTTGTCAAAATCAGCTTGGGGCTTTATTTGCAAATATAAAATGTGAAGGTCTGAGAAAAGCTATAGCATAATTTGTTTGCAGATGCCATTGTGTCTCCAATGAACAACCAGACATGTTTAAGTGTGACTTAAGTGTCCAAAAGTGTCCAAACTCTTTGGGGCCAGTATGTTGAATGAAATGTTTTTTTTCTTCAAAAAAAAAAAAAAAAAAAAAAATTTCAAACAGACTTAAGTCATTTTGCTTAAGTAAATCTTATTTTAAGAATATTAAGATACTTGAGCTGGAAATATTTTTTTTTGTTTATTCTTGTTACATCACTCATTAGAAATATGATCAAATATGAAATTTAAAAAAGCTGTATGTATGTTCATTATGTTTATTTTCACTTTGTATGTTTATTAATTTGAGCATTTTTTGGACCTTCTAAGACTCATCTAAACTTTTTATTGAAAATGCAACTGCTTGTTCGCTTTGTCTCAGAGAGAGAGAGAAAGAGAGAGAGAGAGAGAGAAAGGAGGTAGAGAGCTGAATGATTGGTTGTTCTCAGTGTGAGAAAGATAATACTCCCTTTAATGTTTCTTCAAGGAATCAGTGGCTTGTTCAGTAACCTGCACTTGAACTTGTGTGAAGTTTAGTATATTTAACACCGCTCGATTTTCACACAGTTTTCTTTGTCCGGATCTCAATGAGACTTTTAGAAATATATTCCAGACAGTGAATATTGGGAAACTGGAAATTCACCCTTTGGATATTCAGCACATTCACCTTTTGGACTTTAAACACACCATTGTTTGCACTCAACCTGAAGTTTGCTGTCTGGAGATGACAATCAAGCTAAATATTGCTGTTGTAACCCTTCTAGTCATCTCAGTAACAAAGAACCATTGTAGAACCATTATTTTTAAGAGTGGTGTTTGAAACGTGTCAGTTATGTGTTTTTGTAAACAACTGCAATTGCAGTAACACATTCTTATTTTTCAAAAACAACATAATGTAAACATAGTAAACATTAGAATGTATATCAGTTTCTATTATACAATATTATGCATATCTTTATGCTATATTATAAATACAGACTTTGAGTCTTCATGTAGTTTTTAACTCTGGTGAAGGTTGGTCTTTATCTACCTCACTACGTGGAAATATTTGCATAATGCGGCCCAAATGTGCACGCAAAAATTAAATCAGATTTTTTTTTTACTATCTAATTATCAAAAGTTCAAACATAAAAATAGTGCAATTCTTAAAGGGGTCATATGATGCGATTTCAAGTTTTCCTTTCGATACATTCCAGTTTTTACAGTCCACATAGCATTCAACATTTTGAAAGTCTGATAAACATTCATCACATTTTTATTTAAACCAGCTTTCTGTCTGTTTGGCTGGAATTTCCTCAATAACGGTCCGTTCTGTTGGCCACCACAGTGCAGTAGTGCAGCATCCCTCTGAAGATATCGTCTGGATCCGACACTGCCAAACGCAGTCTGCCAGTTGTGTGTCCTGCACACTATGTACTCCAACACCCTCATTTGTCAGAAGTTAGTCCATGTGTTACTGTTAAATAAGGAATTTCTACTGAGGAGCTTTGCCATGTTGATGTAAGCACAGAAATAGTGTGGAAAGAATGCTTTTTGGCAGGACATGAAAACGATCAGGTTGTATGCAAATCTGGATGTTGGGCATCTGTTATACTTATAAATTTGTTTTTATACTTTGATCTGTTTAAACTCTGGCCAACGATGTCCCCTTATTTGGTGTGTTCATAAAAATGGCAGTTGGTAACCTTTGTTAAGCCTTTGTTATTACTGTTTTTCATACTTAGCGTTAGTGATTTGTCGAGCTGGGGGACTGGGACTCCAACTCGGACTCAGACTGCGATTATGAATGAAGTTGGACTTGGATGGACTTGTACTCGAACATGACATGGACTCTTGACATTTTGGAGAACAGACGAATTTGCGTCATGTGTAACATGAATGATAAAAAATAAGTAAGAGCATAAAATTAATATAAAAAAGACGTTAATGAACGTCTCCCACACAAACTCAATTGGTTAAGGACTAGGACAAGGTGGACTCGGAACCAACACTAGTGATTTGAACAAACCCCTAAAATGAATAATTATTTAGTGTGTAAGTAACTCATACAGTTGGATTTGTATGGAAGTCTGTTTCTGCCACTGACAAAAAAAACAAACAAACAAACGTTTTATATCACAATGCAAGTTTGCATCTCACAATTCTGACTTTTTCTCAGAATTGTGTGATATAAATTTGCAATTGCAAGTTTTAAAATCAGAATTGCAAGATATAAACTCGCAATTGCGAAAAATAAAGTCAGAATTGCGAGATGTAATCTCTTAATTCTGACCTTTTTCTCTCTATTGCGAGTTTATATCTCGCAATTTGGACTTTTGTCTCAGAATTGTGTGATATAAATTTGCAATTGAAAGTTATAAAATCAGAATTGCAGCATTTAAACTCACAACTGTGAAAAATAAAGTCAGTATTGAGAGATATAAACTCACAAATCTGACGTTTTTTCACAGTTGCGAGTTTATCTCGCAATTCTGACTTTCTAACTTCTCTCAGAATTGCAAGATATGAACTCACAATTGCAAAAAATATATAAACTCTATAAACTCATTTCTGACTATTTTTCTTGCCATTGCGAGTTTATATCTCGCAATTCTGAGTTTTTTCTCAGAATTGCATGGTATAAATTTGCAATTGCAAGTTATAAAATTTATAAGTGCAAGATATGAACTCACAATTGCAAAAAATAAATTCAGAATTGTGACTCGCAATTCTGACTTTTTTCTCACAATTCTGACTTCTTTTCTTAGAATTGTGATATAAACTCGGAATTGCAAGAAAAAAGTCAGAATTGCGAGTTAATATCGTGCAATTCTGACTTTATAACACTTTACAACACAATTGCGAGTCTGAAAGTCAGAATAGTGAGATATAAACTTGCAATTCTGATAAAAAAAAGAGTCAGAATTGTGAGATAAAAAGTTGCAGTTACCCTAGTAACCACTAGCAATTCCCTGGCAACCACCCACAACATTGTGGTGGTGATTTGTAAGGGCAGAAAATGTTCAAATCTGACTGGGAATTGCAAGATATGAACTCACAATTGCAAAAAATATATAAACTCTATAAACTCATTTCTGACTATTTTTCTTGCCATTGCGAGTTTATATGACTTTATAACACTTTACAACACAATTGCGAGTCTGAAAGTCAGAATAGTGAGATATAAACTTGCAATTCTGATAAAAAAAGAGTCAGAATTGTGAGATAAAAAGTTGCAGTTACCCTAGTAACCACTAGCAATTCCCTGGCAACCACCCACAACATTGTGGTGGTGATTTGTAAGGGCAGAAAATGTTCAAATCTGACTGGCATTAAAACTGTTGGCATGAATTCAGCTTTCTTAGCGTTTCATTAATCATTGAAGACATTCTGTTGCAAGGCCTCGCGGCGTTGGATTGAAAGTGCATCTACTGGCAGCGCCGTCTACTAAAATTGGTGGTTTTCAGTAAAGCTTGATTTAAACACAAGTTTGGTGCTCAGGGAGTTTGTAAACTGTGCAGTCGGACACACTAAATAAGCCATCATCCTAAAATAAAAGCAACATTTCTCCATGAGCTCATCATCAACTAGCACAATAAAGCGTTTAAATACATCACAATATTTAGGGTCTCCGTGGCAACTGGATCAAAAACATGACATGTAGCACAGACGTCAGACTGGAGCCCTGTTTTAGATTAGACCTGTGAACCTTCCTTTTCCCCTGTAAAAACACCTTTCCATGAGTCCACGCTTCCTTTTCTGCAGTTTTGTAAAGGTCGCCCAGATGGGTGAATATGTGCAAGACTCAATTCAAAAATATAATGAAGTCTCATTAATAAGCAGATACCTATGTTTACAGTGGCTCTTAGGAGAGCATGATCTTTGGAGGAACTCACAATTACTTCGCTGAAAAACAATATGGTCGCAGTGAAGATGAAGGTTATGCTTTTGACTCTATAGAACAGCAAGAAGGATTCACAAAAGCATCAACACTAATATCTGTATATATCTAGATACGACTGTCATGCCTAGTCTTCATCACATCAGTGTTTTCTACAGAATTCTGCTTTAATATTAAAATCTGAAATGTATTTTTGTATTATGCTTCATTTAGGAGGAGAACTTGGTTCCTTTGGTTC